AGGTTTGCCGACATGGGTGGCGCGGGCGCATGTGAACGCAGCAATGGGGGCCTTCGGCGGAGCTCCCTAAGCCTATGGGGCCACGAAGCGTGTGAGGGGTGTGCCGAAGCTGATGGCGATGATGGTGATGATGACGGCGTTGCTGCTGACATTGCTGGTGGTGATGAGTACCATGCTGTTAATGATGATGAGGATGAGGATGAGGATGAGGATGAGGATGAAGATGAGGATGAGGAGGATGAGGAGGATGATGATGACGATGACGATGACGACAGTAATGATGATGACGACGATGACGATGACGACGACGATGATTCCGATGGTGGCGATGCTAATGACGACGATGGGAGGAGGGGTGGCGGGGAGGAGGAGTTCGGAACGCGGGGCGCTGTCTCTTCAATGCGAGGACCCTACACAACAGGATGGACTGAACATATTTTGAAACGTTTGAACCGCCCCCGAAAGCAAATATTGACGGCCCCTGCAGAGCCTCCCGCTATTGTCTAAGGGGGGGCTCGAACTGGGAAGAGGGTCCCCTCCAAATTGCACAAGAGAAAAGGAGTTTTCGAACGGGTGACGCCCCCTTCGCGTTGCAAGGGTGGGGGAGTTCGAACCAGGCCCCCTTCCCCACACCCCCTGAGCGCGTCGTCGTCGTCGCCGTTGCCGCTTGCGCCAGCCGTCGCCGCCGGCGTCTTCGCTGGTCGCCGTCGCCGCCGCCGCCGCCACTGTCGCCGTCGCCGTCGCCGTCGCCGTTTCCGCCGTCGCCGTCGCCGCCGCCACCGCCGATGTCGCCGTCGCGTCGTCGTTGTCGCCGTCGCCGTCGCGATCGTCGTCGTCGTCGTCGTCGCCGCCGCCGCCGTCGTCGTCGTCGTCGTCGCCGTCGCCGTCGTCGTCGTCGTCGTCGTCGTCGCTGTCGCGTCGTCGCCGTCGCCGTCGCCGTCGCCGTCGCCGTCGCCGTCGCCGCCGCCTGCCGTCGCCGTCGTCGTCGCGGTCGCGGTCGCCGTCGCCGTCGCCATCGTCGTCGTCGTCGTCGTCGTCGCTGCCCGACGGCGCCAGCGCTGTCGCTGGCGCGGGCGTCAGCGCTCGCCGTCGTTGGTTGCAGGTTGGGGGGTCGGGTCCCCTCGTTCGAACCCCTTCCCCCCTGCAACTCAGGTGGGGGGCCTTGTGCGCGTCGTCGTCGCTGTCGCCGCCGCCGCCTTCGCCGTCGCCGTCGCCGTCGCCGTTGCCACCGCCGTCGCCGTCGCCGGCGCCGTCGCCGTCGCCGTCACCGTCGCCCCCGTCGCCGTCGTGGTGGTGGTCGTCGTCGTCGTCGCTTGTCGCTGTCGTCGTCGCTTTGAAGGATAATCACTGTATGCGTGCGCACAGTTCGGAACAGTCGTCGCCGTCGTCGTCGTCGTCGTCGGTGCCCCCCCCCCAGTTCGAACCCCTTCCCCTTTGCAACTTGGGGGGGGGGCCTGTGCGCGTCGTCGTCGCTGTCGCCGTCGCCGTCGTCGTCGTCGTCGTCGTCGCCGTCGTCGTCGTCGTCGTTGTCGTCATCGTCGTCATCGTCATCGTCGTCGTCGTCGTCGTCTGCGTCGCCGTCATCGTAGTCGTCGATGTCGTCGTCGTCGTCGTCGTCGTCGTCGTCGTCGTCGTCGTCATCGTCGTCGCTGCCCGATGGCGCCAGGGCGGGCGTCGTCGTCGTCGTCGTCGCTGTCGTCGTCGCCGTCGTTTTCACCCGACGGCGCAAGTGCTGGCGCCGCCGCTCGCCGTCGTCGGTTGCAGGGGCGGGGGCAGGCCCCCCCTCGTCGCCGCTGCTCAATGGCGCCGGCGCTGTCGCTCGCCGTCGTCGGCTTCAAAGGGGGCGTTCACCTCCCGGTTCGAACCTCCTGCCCCATTGCATCGCAGGGGAGGGCCCCCCCCGTTCGTTCCCCGCCTTCCCGTGGACACAGAGATCGACGGCGAGCGAGGGGGTGAAGTGAGAAGGAGAAGGCCTTCTCAGAAGGTTCGGAAGTTCCCCGCCCTTCTGAGATGTTTTCGAAGCCTTCCCCGAAGACACAAGCAACCTTTCAGAAGGCGCGAGGGCTTCTGAGTAGTCCCGCCGACTTCTGAGAAGGCCTTCTCCTTCTCATATCCCCCCCTCGCTCGCCACCAACAGAGAGGGGGGCGGGCCCTGTACGAACACCCCCCCTTTGGACAGAGGGGGGCTCCCCTCTCCCACTTCGGACCCCTTCCCCCTTGAGGGGGGCGGGCCCCCTTCCAGTTCGATTTTGAATATTGCATGACAGGGGGGGGGGGCAGTGCCAGTGCCCACAGCACCCCTCCCCTCCCCCCTCCCCTGCCAGTGCCCACAGAACCCGCATGCCCTAAAGACTACGCAGTACTGAATTCAGAGAACGCGAAGGGACTTGAGGACATTCAAATTCTGAAGGGAGGACAAACCACCCAGACCGGACAGTTGGCGTTTACTGAACGGCCTTGGGCGTTTATTAAACAGCCCTGCCCTGATTGATTCCTTCTTTGGGTGCTTTTACTAAACGGCTTTGCGTGTCGGTGTGGTTATTATCGGGGTGGATTTTCTGCCCTCTAAATTCGTGCCTGAGTGAACACAGGAGAGTCGACTCCGCCACCCGTTCTGGGCCAGGGATGGCGCCCCCCATCCCTCCGCGCATCTGCTGGTCGCTTTACTCAGCACTAGCGGTAAGTCGGGCCCGTCCCTCGACAGGAGGAATATTCAAAAATAGTCAGAAATGAGTCTGGGGACAATTTTTAAGTATTTTGACAATGTTAGAATATTTTTTGGGTAAGTGAGTGCGTGCACGGGAATGATGTGAAAAAGGTTTTTTGGGTGTCGTGTCCAGGATTGATTCCCACGTGTTGCTCTCCGCAACCGATTGGGCTCAAGCATCAAAGGGCAGGGGTTCTTGCTCGATGGCAATCACGCCATCCCAGGCTGCTCTGCTTGCCTGGATCGCCGTGATAGCCCCCTCGCTCTCGGGCTGGCTGGCTGGCAGCGCTGCCGGGCGCGGCGCGCCGGCGGCCCCAGGCCTCGCGGGGCCCGCCGAGTGGTGCTGGGAGCCTCCGCTGTGGGACTGCTCCTGTTCGTGTGCCTGTCCCTCGACGGCGGCCCCCGAGCCGCCGCCGCCCCCGCCTTCGGGGCCGTCAGCGCCTCCGGCGCCGGGCCTTGCCGTGGCGCGCGACGCGCTCTGGCCTGTGGCCGTCGGGCTCGCCGACTCGGGGGACGTCGCGTTTGTGAGTTGTTTCGGGTTCGGCCTCTTTGAGATCATCCTCGTGCTGTACTGTTGTCGTCGAGGCGGCCGGACCGAGCTCCCTCAGCGGCGTGTGATTCACAATGGAGCCCGACTGGGTGCCGGGGACGCAGCTGCTCGTGTCGTTCGTCAGTGATCCTGGCTTCAGACACGAGCGTGTCATTGTCTGGCCGTGCCACGAGGACTCGTGGGTCGTGTACACCGGGGGCGGCGATCTGTGTGTAGAGGAGGAGAAGGATTGGTCGAAGGTGTACCTCATGACGGCTGGTCAGCCGCCCAGGTCGTTGCAGACGATGGGGCCAATGTGGTGCAGTTCGCGAGGTTCCCGACGGATGACGAGCTGAGGGGTCTCATCGTGGAGGCGCGCTGGGAGGTGACGGCGCTGCGGCGGGCCGAGCCCGATCGTGTCGTGCCGCCGGACCCCCTTTTACTTTCTGTCGGAGGACGGTCGGCGCTACCCGCTCGTACGCCACCGCCTGCAGGGCAAGCAGGTCGGCCGTGCTGCCCCGCTGGGCGATGCGGCGGCCGCCGATGGGGGCGCGGGCGCGCCACCGCCGCTGGCGGCTGGCCCAGGTAGCTCGGCGGACCAGAAGGATGGGGCCATGGTCGACGGCGATCAGGCGCATCGCTGGGTCATCAGCGAGCCCGGCCTCGTCTGGGAGCTGGGCACACCGGTGGCGCACGGACGGGTGAGGGCGAGGCTGGACGATCGCGGCGCGGCTGACATCAACGGGAATGCGGTCCCGGTTCAGCTCGTGCCCGAGGAGGAGGTCGGGGACTACGCAGCAATGAAGGCCTCTGGTTTCGAGCTCGCGATTCGAGATGCCAGTGGTGTGCCCACCGACTTCGGTCGCCGCGTCGGCATCGCGCCGACCGAGGAGCGCGGCGCGGCGACGCGCGGCCCCAGCGGCGGATCAGGATGTGGCTCGACGTCTGGGCCCGCTCGAAGAACATCGGGCCCGGCGAGCGCGTGCATCACGAGCTGTCCGTTCTCTGCGAGGTGATATGCGTCGGGGGCACCTACGACCAGCTCAACATGCCGTCGTTGGTGAGCTTCGAAGTCATCGCCCGCCGCATCCAGAGCATCGTCGACGCATACTCGGTAGATCCCTCACGGCCTCAGCGGGCCAATGCGAGGCTGTACTCCGGCGTCGGCTCGGCCGTCGACATGCTCTCGCCCGAGCTCAAGCACTACGTCGCCAGGAGGGCCAAGGACGAGGCTGAGGTCGAGTCCATGCGTGCTCGTGGCCGCAACTTGCCAGTGGCTGCCGACGCCGTCGCTGCTGGTGGTCTTCCTGCCGCTGGACGCAGCGCCCTTGTCGCCGCCGCGTCGGGCCAACCTCCGAAAGGACAGGGCCGTGGAGCCCCGAAGGGAGGTGAGGGCGCCGCCGCCGCGGCGGAGACCCAATGAGAGATATGACCCTCGGCGGTGGGACTGGCCCCCCTGCTGCCGTTCGCCTTCCTGGGCCTGCACATGGATCCGCGGAGATGTTCCCATTGCCCGACGACCCTTCCTTCGTCGAGGACTTCTGGGTCCACCTTCAGGGGCGTGCCCAGCGCCGGTTCGTGAGGGACTGGCGGCAGTGTGTGCGCTCGCTTAATTGGTTGTGGGGTGCTGGACATCGCGAATAGGGAGTTCGTGCTCATCGCGACTTTCATCCATACCGACGTCAACTTCAACAGGAGGTACGGGAGCGAATCGCCCAGGGGGCCCAGACCCACTCAGATCCCCCCTCCGACCTTGCACCGAAGGAGGCCTTCCAGGGGCTACTTCGAGGCCGCGGCGTCTACGACGCCGAGACGGCCTACACTACCCTTGCGCCCTACCAACGGGGCGCGGCATCTCTCCCCAGCGACGTCTCGTCGGCCCCGGCCGCGGGATCATTGGTCACGGGGCGCGCCCTCGAGTACCTGGTAGAGGCAGAGGAGCAGATGATCAGGGCCGATGCTGAGGCCCAGCTTGACCGTGAGACAAATGGCGAAATCAAGATTTACACCGACCCGCTGCTCGCCCACAGCCGGCGGCGCTATTCCACGTTCGTGAAGGACTTGAGGCGCAAGGGGCTGGTGGGCTTCAGTCGCGAACCCAAGGAGTTCGTGGGTGTGTTCTTTGTATGGAAGAAGGAGCGCGCCTCCATGTGGATGGCGCTCGACTGTCGCCGCTCGAATCAGCGATTTGTTACCCCGCCTGGCGTGGAGCTACTGTCAACTGAAGGACTTGGGCGGATCGAGTGCGAGGCGGAACAGGCCGACGCGTTGCCCATCTTTTTGGGCAAAGCTGACGTGAAGAACTGTTTCCGCCGCGTGCTGTTCGGCAGTCACCTTCTGCCACCCGGGGGGGGGGCCAAGGAGTTTGGCATCGTCGGCCAGGCCGTGGACGGGGTGCCGGCGCGGGCGGAGGATACCTCTGGCCTCGCGCCCTTGCTCTCCCCATGGGCTGGACGTGGTCACTATACTTTGCCCAAGTTGTCAACCTGGGCATGGTGGAGAGGGTGCCCGCCGTCGCGTCGAGCCGCGTGGCAACCGACCGCGGGCCCCCTATCGTGCTGGCGCCCTCCTCTCCTTGGCACTACGTCCTATGTGGACAACGTGGGGCTCCTCTCGTTGGATGCCGCCTGCGTCAAGGGGGCGCTCGCGGACACCGCCAAGGCCTTTGATGCCGCGGGCCTCATCATGCATGACATCTCAGTGGACTGCGAGACCGCTGAGGCGCTAGGTGTGACTCTGGATGGCCAGAAGCACCAGACCCTCGTCACTCATCGCCGCTACTGGAAGGTTCGACTTGGGCTCCGGCGGGCCCTCTCCCTGCGCCGTCTGGCAGGGAGGGAGCTCGAGGTTCTGCTCGGCCACTGCGCGTTCGTCGGCCTCATGCGCCGGGAGGCGCTGTCCGCGCGGCACACCGTGTACACCTTCATCCGCGAGCGGTACTGGGCAAAGAGCGACGTGTGGGGCTCCGCGCGCCACGAGCTCGAGTGCTTCCTTGGGCTGATGCCGTTCCTGCGTTCTGAGTGGGATCGGCCGTGGCTCCCGCAGGTTCTTTCGGTGGACGCCAGCCTGTGCGGCTGGGGGATCGCTAGCTCCGAGTTCGGGGCGTCGGCTGCCAAAAAAACAAGGAAGAATACTTGAGCGCTCTCGGTTCCGTCGTCTCGGAGGGTTACCTGCTCGCGCTAGCGCCCTTGCTGCGGCTGGCTTCGCATACTCAGCCGCCGCCGATCGTTGGGAGGTCGACGACGGGAAGGAACGGGACCCCTCGGACATTCAGGCGGCCAGGGTCTGGGAGATGCGCGAGGATTTCCCTGAGATCCCCGGGGGCCTCCTTCACGTGGATCGGTGGCGTCTGATTTTTGCATGGTAAGTGGGCCTATTCCGAGGATATCCTGATTCTCGAGGCCCGCGTCCTGGTCAGAGCTGTCGCAAGAGTTTGCAACTGTGTTCCTGGTGGTTTTTGCAGAGTATTGTTATTGGGAGATAATTTGTCAGTCGTTCTTGCTTGTGAAAGGTTTCGGGCCCGCAGCTTCGGGCTTCTGGCGCAGATTCGACGTATTGCGGCCTGCGCGCTGGCCCGGGGAGATCGATTCGGCTTCAGGTGGCACCCTTCTGAGCTGAACAGTAGCGACGCGGGGCCCCGTATCTACGATCCCAACTACGACGCCACGAAGGATCTCACCCGCCTGGTGGCTGACGGACACGGACCCGACGACGTCCTGCTCCAGCCTGCGGATCGACCTTTACCCGAGGGCGTACCGGCTCAAGCGCTCACGCCTCGGGCTTCGCCCGACCCCTCTTCTTACGATCTATTTCACGACTGCAATGAAGCGGACCCGCAACCTGGAGGCGTCGAACCGCACGCCCGTGAGGGAGGAGAGCCGACGAACTACCCTGAGAGCGAGCCCGGGCTCGACTTCGTGTCCGCCTGCAGCGTTCTCGAGGCCGACGAAACACAGGATTCTCTGCCGACCGAAGATACGCTCCATGCTGGAGTCCAGCGAGTCTTTCCTCTCGATGGGTTGCCTGGAGACCCTAGTCGACGAGGGGCTCGCACGGGCCGCAGCAGCTGTCGCGGCCGCTGCCGCCGCCGATGCCGCCGACGAGGACAGCGTTGGCACTACTACGGGCGACGAGATGGAACGATCGGTGATGGCTCGCTCTCCAGAGTGCCCTCGCGCGGGAGGCAGCAAGATGCCTCGCGCGTGGTGGCGCGCCATCGCCGTGGTGTTCGCGAGGCGCAGGATGGTGGCCACGGGGCTCGCGATCATGATCGGCGTCAGCTGCTACCTCAGGCCCTCGAGGCTGCTCAACCCTACGTCCAGCAACCTGGTGGCTCCGACGTCGCACGCGTCGCAGCACTGGATCCTCCTTTTGCATCCTTCGGAGAAGGAGGACAGAAGCAAGTCAGGCGGTGCTAACGACTTGCCGAATATCCACTTTCAGTGCATGCTGCCGTGGGTCACCGACTTCCTCCAGGCCTTGAGGGGGAAGGGCGGCCAGCTGTGGTCGTTCGACTATTTGACCTTCTTAGCGGAGCTCAAGACTGTGGCGAAGGTGCTCGGCGTTTACCGCCTGGTGCCATACCAAATGAGGCACTCGGGCCTGTCGATCGACCGCATGGTACCTTGCCGCAAACAAGAGGAGTGTCAGAAGCGAGGTCGGCGGCACGACTGGAAAAGCATCGACCGCTACGAGGAGAGCGCGCACCTCAGCAGCTTCTTGTACGAACCCCCCGTGGAGATGCTGGCACACATGCATCTGTGCGAGGATCAGTTCGTCGAGTTCCTCTTGTCGCCCGAGCATGCCCCAAGGCCCGCGCCTAGCCGAAGATGGGTCGGGCGGGCGTTCGTGCGCATGGGGGTTTCAGCCAAGGCATGGGATATCATCCATGGTGCCAATCATGACATTACCGACCCAACCGTGCTCCGTCTGCTGCTTTCTGACGCCCATCACAAAAAGGTGCTTGCCGCTATAATTGCATTACCTTGTGCATCGTTGACTATCGCACGCGACACGACTTTTCATATTCGGTCTCGCACTGAGCCATGGGGTACTGATCTTACCAATGCTACTGACCGCGGTCGAGCCTCGCTCGAAACCGGCAACAAGATAATTCGCGTTGTCCTTCGCATTCTTCGTCATCTTAATCGACATGAGGTTCCTTGGATTATTGAAAATCCTTCGACTTCGCGTTTGAGGCTCATTTCCGGGATCCTTGCGTTCTGTAATCAAGCCCGAGCTGAATGGAAGTTTACTGATTTTTGTCAGTGGGGGACACCGTGGCGGAAACGAACGTGGCTGGCTTGTGGCAACATGAGTTCTGAGGACACAGCCAACTTGAACAGAGTCTGCGGTGGAAAAGCTGGTGTGTGCCCCCGCACGCTCCGCCGTCACATTGAGTTGAGTGGCCGTAATGAGCATAATGTTCTTTGGACCTCTATTGCCCAGCCTTGCCCTTCCCGCCTTGCCACGGCCCTCGGTAAAGCTCTCGCTGCTAGCAAGCACACCTCCTGCTCTTTCAATTCGGGCGGCCCTGTCCGTACCGGGGCCCACTGAGGCTCAATTTTGGGCGCTTTCGTTTTCCCCTCCTCTCTTCCCCTCCTTCGCCCCTGGTGAACCCTTATCAATTCGGGAAATTTGGAATGATCAGGACGTGTGGTTCTAACGATCTCGCACGGTCCCAGCTGTTCGTGTAACCCTGTCAGATAGTAGCAGACGGTCTCCGCTGGAAAAACACGGTCTCATTATGTTAGTGCGTGCGCGGGAAAGATGTGAAAAAGGTTTTTTTGGGTGTCGTGTTCAGGCTTGATTCCCACGTGTTGCTCTCCGCAACCGATTGGGCTCAAGCATCAAAAGGCACCCTCCCTTTCGAACTTGTCGTTCTCCCTCCTTTTTCTTTTTCACTCTGCAGAATGATCAGGACTTGTGGTTCTAACGATCTCACACGGGCCCAGCTGTGCGTGTAACCCTGCCAGATAGTAGCAGACGTTCTCCGCTGGAAAAACACGGTCTCATTATTTTTATTTGTCGTCGGAAATCCCCCTGTAGGGGGACACGCCCGACTTAACCCTAGCGTACACTTGAATGCGAGGCAGTTCCTTTTTCGAGCGCCCCCCTCGCCCTTGTCATATTACACGGTGCGGAGCACGTCCAAGTAACTAAGTCCGCATTGCCTTCAATGCAGGCCACACGCGTGCGCACATGTCGAACCCTTTCCATCACCATTGCTTGCCAACTGATTCAACCCCACATATGTCAGGAACTCTTGTCTTCCAGAAAGGGCTTGTCAGGTTTCTGCGCGCGCGTTCACGAAAGTCCTAATGAGCACACGTTGTGCTGTCACCTCGTCAAATGAGACCAAGCGCGTCACACGCCCGTGCATGCCGGAATCATCCATCCAACTGTCATCTCCAACCAGCCGTTTTTGCCACATGAGAAAGACAACACGTGTACCACACCCGCGTCCGAGCGCACGCTCGCCGAAGTCATTGCAAACTCATTGGTGATCTAAGGATTTCCAGGTATAGGAGTGCAGCAGGATAGAAGGAACCTCTGGCCTTAAATGCCAAGCGTCTCAGGGATTCTGCGCCCGCACTTGCTCACCGTCGTCATTAGCGCCACCGCCATCATCATCGCCAGCGATATCGTGTCATCCTCATTCCCGGCACCACCATATCCCTCATACTCACCACCATCGTATCATCGTCATTTCCATCGCCGTTGCCGGCGGCGTCAAGTTCTTCAACAGTTAATCGCATCCATTATTTTGCACCCCACTCGCACCTCATACATCGCACCGCCCATATTGCGCTGCAAATGCAATGCCGTGCAGATTGCAACACAGAGGCTGCACCATTACACATATCGCAGCACAAATTGCACATCGACAGTGCGGTAACTCATTGTTTGTTGGGGTCAGCGCTGGCCAATCGTCTGTTTAAGGCACGTCCGATCAGCACGTGTTCGACGGCGGGCCCCGTTTCAATTGCGAGTTAGGGTATGTTTGAAGTCGTGCCCGGCTTCAACAAGCATGCCTTCTCCCTCCAACACTCCAAGAACCTCTCGCAACGCTGATTTCGAATTGCGCAGATCAGCCGTACAGCGCCCCCGCCCTCTCGACCCGATCACAGTTCAGTCAGTCGCAGTTGGCAGGGTCGTGGGGTAATCTTCTACCTTTGGCGCGTTCAGCTTCCCTGATTTCTTCTACGCCGCACTGGTGAAGGATCAATACTTTGGTTAAGCGCGGATTCTGGCCATGGCCTGTTTCATGGCCTCGCGATGATGGGCGCAATTTGCTTGGAGTGATGCCTTGGATAAGTTCACATGGTTGTCATGAGCGCCACGATCACTTTGCACGCCACGTGCCAGTCTTTCCTTTTCACGCGAAGTTACGCGTCAACCTTAGCATGTGTGTGATGACAGTCCCATCATCTGCTAATGGCCCCACTGATGTTGCGACTACAATTGGGCCAGTCTGATCCCACAAGGGTTTTGGTTTGCAAATGGTTCGAGGCCCATCCCCGACCGAGCGGCACAGGCCGATCAACCTGTTGAACTGCACACGGGCTTGGCGACGACCACCGAGTTGATTATTGCAAGCGTCGCTCGTAGGTCCAGGCGATGGATCGATTGATTCGAACGGCGCTGCGATATGAGAAGCACGGTTTCTGCGTTGTTGCTATCTTGTTTGCCCAGTATCCTCTGGAAGATTCGCGATGCGAGCGATCGGTCCCAGTTTTTACATGAGATGTTCACGGGTTTCGCGAGACATTCTTTGACGCGCGGCTATTCAGTAACAGTTCGCGAACAGGCCTTTCTGTGTCGTGCGGCGGGGATATCGTCGCGCTGTAGCATCTCCCCGTCTAGACTCGCTTGTTGACGGGTGCCCTGTGCAGAGGGAGCGCGCGCATGCTTTCTTCTCGTGCGTTTTTGTTCCTCCATCCCATTGCATCACTCCGCCAGGCCCGAGCAGTCATTCTCCGTTTCGTGTCCCTTCACCGTCTCTGTTGCGCGGCATCTATGCGCAGGGCTTTGTGTCATGGGGTGCATTGGGTGCACAGAACAGTTGTCGTGTGACAGTGGCTCGTGATTGCGAGCTCGTGGCGCCCATTGGGCGTATATCTCCTGCCGCCCGTCAATGCTCTGCTCTGGCGAAACAGGCAAGTGCATTGCTGTGGATTCGGATCTCTAAGACGTGCATCGCGAGATGGCCTTCTGAAGATGTGATCGTCCGCCAGGTCTGTCTCGAGGATCCGCCCATCCTGAAACGCTCGGCCCGTCGCGACTCACGCGACCTCTCCACGGGCGATGGCATTGGTCGCCGCTTTGTCCCCAAGATGGCCTCGCCGCTGATGCCTGCGAAAGGCTCGTGACATGGCCGCCGCGACCGAAGGCTTGGCCGTTTCTGGCCGCTTTTGCGGTTGGGCGCCGCGCGTCTCCAGGCCCAGGGGCTACCATGACATCTCGCCGTTCCTGGGCTTCGCCGGGCCCGTGCTCCTCGCGGTCTTCCTGAAGAGCCCCCGCCGGCCCAAACGGCACCCGCCATCGAGGGCTGTTCGGGCGGGTTGCCAGAGATGGGGTGCGGACGAGGCGCTGGGCCTTGTGAGGGGAACTACAGCGCAGCTCTTTCACTCATCGATCGCACTCGCCAGTTTTCCAGACCAGCGCAGTGTTCTGAGCCTCTGTGAAGGTGGGAGCTTCCAACGGATTGACTTGTACCGCCTTCAGCTTTGCGAACGTGGCAGCCAACTCGTTGATTTACACCCCCTTCCCATCAGTTCGGAAGCCAGCAGTGTGCTTTGGCATTGCCTGTTTCGGTTTCGGACTCTCTTAGGCCAATTTAGACCCTCTTGAATTTCCAGCGCTTGTTGCCAGGCATGCCCAGGAACGGGAGAAGTCACTCCAGGGCGCCCCGGAACGCCCTCAGCCCGATCTCCAACGCTCTGAGAAGGCCGCGGCGCCCAGTGCATCCTCCAGAACCAGCGGATGTCGGAGAGCCCCGATTTGTCCCGATCCGAGTCTATGCCGCCCCCGGCTTCGTTCCACGACTGCGGTCGCATCCAGTAGCGCATCCAGCATAGCTGCCGGCGGGCGGAGGATCCTGACCTTCGGGCAGATGACCCGCGCAGCGTGCGCCACGCCGCCCCGGCCGAAGATGCTCCCACTGCACCCTCGCTCTCTTTGGTCCACACCCCTCCTTTACGTTGCATATTCGGGGGGCCTCGCCTGTCCCCACAAGTGGTGTCGTTTCTTGTGCACGACGCGGGCCCAATGCGGACTCGACGCGGATTTGGCGTGGATTCGACACGGATTCGACATGGACCCGACGAGTCCGACATGGACTCGACACGGTTTCGCTGCGGATACGGCCGCCACGGGACAGACAAGGCCCCCCGAGGATGCAACATAATCTCTTCTGCCCCGCCTCGCTCTTCCCGGAGACGGACTGTAGGAGAGGACCCTCGGTCAGAGGAGGACAAGGCCTCAAGGCACCGACATTCCTATCCTTCCCTCGTTGTCGCCTTTTTGGGCCTCCTTCAAGTCCCTCGTCGCCACGGCTGGATTCGACTCGAAATTCTGGTTAGCACGCACCTTGGAAGAGGTCCAGAGAGTACGATGTCGGCATGCTTTGGTCTCCACTACACGGGGCGCTCCAGAGAGGTCCTCGCTTCCGAGGGATCGAGAAGCTGACGTCTCTTCTCTGGCGGATGGTGGTGGAAGTAGACTGAGGGCGCATCCGCCAGCGGAAGCTCGGCGGAAGGCGGCATATTCTTTGGGGTCCAGGTTTTCCAGCAACGGCCGTATGGCATGAAGGAGGAACGGAACTGGCGGGCCCATTTGGAATCCTCCCACATGATGCTTGCCACTTGCTGTCGCGCCCGCCCCCCCCTCCACCCACAGGGGGCAGGGGTTTGGAAGAGGCAGAGCAGTGCGCGGACTGACTTCGGTGAGCGGCTTTGCGAGCGTCACGGCAGTCGCTTGGCCCCCAGAGTCTTTCATTTTGTTCCCCGCTTTGTGTCGGGAGGGGCTGAAGGCCCCAGGGCAGTGCGGGCGCGCTTCATTGGGCTAGGGTTATGATGCTCCAACTTACTTTAGCCTTGACCACCAGAAAGAAGTTAGAACAGCAAGAGAAACGTACCGAAACTCGATGGTTTTCACGTGTCGGGCCCTGGGAGACGCTCGTCCGACACTGTGTCGACACTCTTTCGACAATTTTCTGGGTGCTCGAAAGCATTTCTGGGATGTGGTGCTTAAGTACGATGGGTGCAACATAAGGCTAGGGGGTAGTTTTCTTGGAGGTGGGGATGGTGAGACCGTAGTGGAACGAAGGCTCCCAGCCAGGAAGACTACTGTCAAGAGGCTGCTTGGGGCAGTGGCCCAGGAGTTTCTCCTCTCGCGGCGAGGGGGTCGGCTACACCCTCAGCGCAGCTTCTGTTGTGGAAAGGCACAGGGCGTTGGCCTGTTGGCCAGGCGCACTGGTGGGTACCAGCGGAAGCTGGACACCGTGCGTGAAGGACGTCCACGACGGATAAGTGGGCGAGGAAGGAAGGACTCCCCGTAGTGATGATGTATAAAGGATTATAGGTTCCCGCTGGCCTTGTAGCAAAGGGGCAAGGGTGACACCGTGGCCATGTTGGACGTAGGCCACGCTTCCGCCGATGCACAGTGGACGCCGAACAGCGCCCACAGCACAAAGCGCACATTGGCGGTCTGGAGGCGTACCCGGCGGGGGCAGCCAGTCGGCGGGGGGGCTGAGTCTTGGCCGAAAGGTGTTGCGAGCGGCGGTGGCCCGATACCACCAGCCCGTGGCGAGCGTGAACCGATACACAGCTAGGAGCGATCACATACCCCGTGTAATACGCCCCGCAAGCTCGTGTCACAGTTGCGTTTCCTATTCCGTGGTGCACAAACGCACCGCTCGCACCACGCGTGAGAGAAGCAGAAGATGTTGGGTAAGACCATCTTACAAAGAGGGAGAGGGAGAGAGAGAAAGAGAGAGACAGAACGAAAGAGAAAGGGAGAGATTGAGAGAGGGATGGAGAGCCAGGGAGAGGGAAAGAGAGAGAGAGAGAGGGAGAGGGATGTAGGATGTAGAGAGGGAGAGAGCGAGCGACAGAGAGAGAGAGAGAGGGACACGCAGGGAGAGAGTGAGAAAGAGAGACGGGGAGAGGGAGGGAGAGGGAGAGAGAGAGGGAGAGAGAGGTATACGGAGGGAGAGAGTGAGAGAGAGAGAGAGAGCAGGCGGCGGGATGCGCCAAGGATGTCCTGGATATAGAGAGAGAGAGAGAAAGAGAGAGAGAGAGAGAACGACATTTGGTTCGGATGAAAGGGGGGGCATAGAGACAGGGCGGGGGGACGACATCTGCCGCGTGCAGCCGACTTCGGCCTCGCCGCCCAGCTTCTTCCTCGATACGTTAGCACCTCCGGCGCTGGGAGGCGCCAAATCATCTACCGTGGCACCCCGCAGTTGCGGATAAGAGTGAGGGGGTGGCGGGGACGCCGGCAGTCAGCCAGGCTCTGCAGGCGCCTAATTGTTACACTCTATGCAATGAGCTCGCCGCAGGCGATGATTTGCACGTTAAAGTGTGGGTGGTTGGCGGGGTGGGTCGCGGGTGGGTCGCGGGCGGGTCGTGGGAGGGTCGCGGGTGGGTCGCGGGTGGGTCGTAGGCCAGGTCGCGGTTGGTCAAGGTTGGGTCGCGGGCTGGTCGCGGGGTGGGTCGCGAGTGGGTCGCGGGTTGGTCGTGGGTTTGGTCGCGGGCCATGTCGCGGGGGGGGATGATGACAACAAACAATACATAACAAACAGCAAGCAACCAACACAACAACAGCAACCACAGCAACCACAACAACAACGACAACGACAACGACAACGACACCACGAACAACAACATCAATACCACCACCACCACCAACAACAGCAACACCAATTATATTAAGATTGTTCGCTCTTATCGGCTCGCGCTTCAGCCAACACGTATACCCCAGACCCTCGAGACCCGCCCTCTTCGTCTTCGAGCGTACCCCCATTAGGATTATATGCTTCTTATCTGCCACGTGTTTTCCGTGCAGCCCTTCAGGCAGAGGAAGAGAGGACGGATGGAAGGAAGGGACAAGCGGGCAGGAGGAGGATGGACCACGAGAGAGCGTCGCAGGAGCGGGGCTAGGAGCAGAAAACACAGCAGAATCAGGCGGGCAGCTCGGGCTGGGGCAAGTCGGGCGGTTAGACCCTATTGGGCGGGTCGAAAGGTGGACCCAGGCGACCAGGTCGAACGGGCGAGCTGCTGAAGCGTGCGTTCCTGCATGAATTGCGAGGGCGTGTCGAACGATAGTAGTGCGATTCCCAAATATACCGTGAGAACATCCACAGCGAGAGCATGAGTCCTGAGTGTCGAAGGCACTGCATCTGAATACATTGCGAGGGTGTCCCGCGCATAAGCGCGATTATTGTGTAAAGTGTTGAAGTCCCGCGCGAGAGCGCGACTTGGAAATCAATTGTGCGGAAGTATCAGTCGAGAGCCGTTGTTGTTGTTGTTGTTGTAAACCGGGTGCCAGGGGCACAGCTTGGTGACACCAGGGTGCGAGCCCCAGACAAAGCACTTGAATTGAACAAATACACTGGTTCTGCGGGTAGGGAGGATCAACAACACTTCTTTATATAAGTGATAGTTCAACAACAACAATCACACAAAACGCTACTCTGGACAGTTTTGGGGTCGGGGGGAGCGACGTTGGGTAGGCCCGCGCCCGCGGGGCGGGCTCGCGACACACTCGCCGCGCCGCCGCGCCCCGCGGGAACGCGCGGGTGCAGCGACAACCCGCGATGCGCGAGAGGTCGCGGAGGTCCTTCGTCATGGTCGGGCCCTCGTCATCCGCTGTTTCTTTCGCGCCTTTTTGATTATGCCCGAAAGGGCACGAATTTCTTCGCGACTGCGGAGCCTCTTCACTTCAGTTTCTAGCGCGTCCACCGCCGCGGACCGCGGCCAGAAAGGCTGGCCCAAGTTATTCAGGGTACCGGCCGGCCGCCGTCGCGGCGGCCGGCGGCCATCTTTGCCACCAGCCACGTGCCCCACCGGCGCGCGCACGCCGCGACTTCTACCTGTACGGATGCCTGCGCTGACGCAGAATCGCGAAACGCGTTGCCATTGATTCGGTCGCGTCGACACTGTCGCACTGGCGCGGGGTCATTGCCGCGGTCGCATAGACGCGATCGCATTATACGGTCGCGTCGACGTTGTAGCATTGACACGGCCTTCAAGACACAGTTTCATGGACACGGTCGAAAGGCGTATTGACACGGTCTCGTTGATACGGAGACGCGCTGACACGGTCGCATTGTCTCGGCCGCACTGACATGGTCGCATTGGCACGGTCGCATCGGCACAGTGGCATGGACACGGTCGTCCTGACACGGTCGCATCGACACAGTCGCATTCACACGGTCGCTTTGACACAGTCGAGTAGTGTCGGTCGCATTGTGTCGGTTGCATTAGGTCGGTTGCATTGACGCGGTCGCGTTGATTCCCTCGCATTGGCACGGTCTCATTGACACGGTCGCATTGATTCGGTCGCATTGGCACGATCTCATTGATAGCGTCCCATTGACACGGTCGCATTGACACCGACGCATTAGCACAATCGCATTGACATGGTCGCATTGGCACCGACGCAAAGACAATGCTGCCGCAGCGGCGCGACGACGCGCGCGCGGAACGCGCCAACCCCGCGCGTGGCCGTCGCGCGCCCTCGGCGCCGCGCGTCGCACGCGGGGGCGTTTCTACCCTTCCCAACCGCAGGGGGGAATTTAGTTTCAAGGGGAACCACGATCCACAACACGAAATCCACGAAGATCTGAGCGCGCCCCCCGCCCCCGCTCCCCACGTCCGACCCCGCCCGCCCCACCGCGGGCCCCGCGGCGATTTGCTTTGCCCGCGGCGGGGCGGGAGGGAACCACGCTTCGCGCTTCTGTGACATCGAACAAAAGTACGATGTGTCCTCGCCAACCGCGATCAATTTTGAGACTGGTCGCTCCTATCTGCTCGCGGGCCCTCTTCGTCTTCGATCGTGCCCCCTTGGGAATGCATCTGATGCGCGCATGTCTTTCCCGCCGCGTCACCTGGCCCAGGCCGTCG